ACCGGAATTAGACAAAAACGTTCAATCGACACTAAATCAAACAACCCTAAGTCGAACCAACCACAAGACAGTTTATAAAATTTACTTTGCAAATAAGTTAATATGATGACTAATTATAATACCGAAGGAGCTAACTGTTGACGAGAGCAAATTATAAAATATAATTGTTGTAGATAATATCAAGTTCCTTTAAAATAGGTTGTACCCTTGGTGAGTTTGTTACTTTCTTTCATGTATAAATGTAATGCACCTGTGATTGATATGATATAGAAAAAACGGGAGAGTCTTTCCCAGAAATCTCAACTCTTAATTTCTATATGGTATCAGAGCATACCAATCACAGCTAAAAGGAAAAATCGCAAACCCATTGATCAATGGGAATCGAAGAAGGATCAAGCGGAGTTTCACACCCCTCATCTGTCATCGTACAGAACGTTCAAGATGCTCCGTTTCCCACCGGAGTTATTCTGGATGATACGAACTACCCTTTGTGGTCCCAACTTATGGAGATGCGAATTGTTGCAAGAAACAAATCCGGATTTATCACCGGTAAATCCCAGAAACCCTCAACAGATGAGAAACTTATCGAAACCTGGCTGATCGACAACAACCGGGTCAAAAGTTGGCTTATCGACTCAATGAGTCCAACCCTAATGCGCCGCTTCGTACGTCTTCAAACAGCTGCAAAAATATGGGATGCAGTAGGAAAAACATTCTATGATGGAACAGATGAAACACAACTCTTCGAATTAAATCGGAAATCATTCACCACTAGACAGAATGGTCGATCGATACCCACCTACTACATCGAACTTGTAAGTATCTTTCAAGAGATTGATACTCGTTTAACAACACAGGAAGAAACCGTAGAGGACACTGTTGCTCTTAACAAAACTATGTCTCGATTCCGTGTCCACATCTTCTTGGCTGGTCTAGATGCTGAATTTAACCAAGCTAGGAGTGAAATCCTGAGAAAGGATCCACCCCTAAGTTTGGAATCAAGCTATGCTTACATCCGTAAGGACCAAAACCAGAGACAGACTATGGAAGAACCAAAACCCGAGTCAGATAGCATGGTACATATGGTCTCTCGAAATGTTCATCAGAAAGGGAAGAACTCAAATGGTAAGAAAAACACATTCACCTGTGCCCATTGTGGGGAAGAAGGACATTCAAAGCTGAGGTGTTATGAAATCATTGGCTACCCTGAATGGTGGGACTTCTAAAAAAGGCCTAGGAAGAAACTTGGTCAAGCCACAGTAGCAACCTCTGGACAAACTCAAGAAGCGTCCAAAGAAGCATTCATTCCCTTGGCAGCCCATACCACCACTGCCAGCTCTGGTATGTTACATCAAAACCAAACTAAAAATAATATTTGGTTAATTGACACAGGTGCAACCGACCATATGACAAACAACCCGAAAAATTTAACAAGATCATATTCTCAAAAACAAAGTGTCATCCAAACCGCGAATGGAGAACTAGAAAAAGTGACAGGTGCAGGGTCTGTAAGGGTATCAAACTCCATGGACCTTGATTATGTCCTTGTAGTTCCATCCTTATCGACTAACTTAATATCAGTTAGTCAAATTACGGAAGCACTTAATTGTTATGTAATTTTCTGGCCAAATGATTGTGTGTTTCAGGATATGGCAACACATCAGATTCTTGGTTATGGTACTAGAAGGGGGCAATTGTACTATCTTGAAGACAATCCTCAAAGCAAGGCGTTTCATACCGAAATAAGGGAAGCAAATAAATCGGTAGCAATGTTATGGCACCGACGTTTAGGACACTTGTCGTTTACCTATCTCAAGAAACTCAAACCAAATTTGTTTTTAAATTCTGTTGAGAATGAATTCAAGTGTGGCATTTGTGAATTGGCAAAAAATACAAGAGTTTCTTATGTCCCTAGCAATAATAAAGCTACTATACCGTTTATGAAAATTCATTCAGACGTATGGGGACCTGCCCCAATCCCTACGTCTAGTGGTGCACGATATTTTGTAACTTTTATTGACGAATGTACTAGAATGATTTGGGTATCTCTATTAAAAAAACAAAGGAGAAGTATTGTTTGCATTTAAAGAGTTATGCCAAATTATCAAAACCGAATATAGGAAGGAAATCCAAATATTACAGTCGGACAACGGGGGAGAATATATCAGTCATGATATGACTAAGTTTTGTCAAGAAAACTTGATCCGCCATCAAACTTCTTGTGCTAGAACGCCCCAACAAAATGGGCTAGCAGAAAGAAGAAATCGAAAGATACTAGAAATTGTCCGGGCCTCCTTATTTGATATGAATGTCCCGAGAAAGTTTTGGGGAGAAGCAGTGCGATCGGCTGCATACCTTATGAACAGGACCCCATCCCGTGTTCTTGAATACAATACTCCAATCCAAAGGTTACATGAATTGCTGGAAAACCCCATTCAACATTGGAATTGAACCAAGGATTTTTGGTTGTACTACCTATGTTTATATGGACATAGGAAAACTCGAACCAAGGGCTGTTCGATGTTTGTTTATAGGGTATGCAGATAACAAAAAAGGCTACATGTGTTATGATTCAGTCGCAAATAAGGTGCATGTGACCCGCGACGTGTCGTTTCATGAAACGGTAAAATTCTTTGATAGTAGGTGTTCACTTCGGGGGGAGAGAACCGAAGAAGCAAACACACATGACATGTCACTATAGCTTGGTGATGACACAGAGTTTTTTAACCTTGAAGAAACTACAAATATATATATATATATATATATATATATATATATATATATATATATATATATATATATATATATATATATATATGACCACCATGAAACTCCAGTTGAAGATAGTACAATCCCCCCCGCGACACAACCTGACCATGAAACTCCGGTTGAAGATAGTATAATCCTCGCCACACAACCTGAACCGAACAGTAACACTGAGGATACCGAAGAATCAAATGTAACTAATAGTCAAGAAAATATGTCTGGTGATGTTTTGCAGGAAACAACAGGTGAATCTAATTCAAGATATCCGATAAGAAGCACGCGTGGAATCCCAAAGAAACAATACCAACCAGATTTGAATGCAAAGGCGACGTACCCAATCGGAAATTACGTGTCGCATCATCGGCTGGCAAACTCACATGTAGCAGTAGTGAACAACTTATCCTCCATTTCCATACCACACGATGTACAAGAAGCTTTGAAGGAAGAGAAATGGAAGAAAGCCATGAATGAAGAGATGGAGGCGTTGCAGAAAAATCAAACGTGGGAACTTGTAACCTTACCTCATGGGAAGAAATTGGTGGGGTGTAGATGGATATATATAGTAAAACTCAACTCGAATGGAAACATTGATCGGTACAAGGCAAGACTTGTGGCTAAGGGATACACACATAAATATGGAATTGATTATGGAGACACATTTGCACCAGTGGCGAAAATTAATACCATTCGTATACTAATCTCCATGGCAGCAAACGAAGACTGGCCCCTAAAGCAATTTGATGTAAAAAATGCATTCTTAAATGGATTCTTAGAGGAAGAAGTGTACATGGAACCACCACCTGTCATCAATTGTAGAGGGAAAGTATGCAAACTGAACAAGGCATTGTACGGGCTGAAACAATCTCCTCGGGCCTGGTTTGGGCGATTCTCTACATTCATGAAGAAAATCGGGTATAAACAAAGCGATGTAGACCACACGCTGTTTGTAAAAAACGCTGATGGGAGAGTAACTGCCCTCATCGTGTATGTTGATGATATGGTGGTGACAGGAAATGATTCTGAAGAAATGAAGAAACTTCAAGCACTACTTGCCACAGAGTTTGAATTAAAAGATCTAGGATATCTAAATTACTTCTTAGGTATTGAAGTTGCAAGATCACAAGCCGGAATTACTATGTGTCAACGAAAATATATACTAGATTTGTTAACTGAAACAGGAATGCTTGATTGCAAACCTGTAGATACTCCAATCGAAGTGAATCATAGACTGGCTATAGTTCCAAATCAAGTACCCACAAATAAGGAAAGGTATCAAAAGTTGGTCGGAAAACTCATATACTTGTCACACACAAGACCAGGCATTGCCTATGCAGTGAGTGTAGTTAGCCGGTTCATGCATGCCCCAAGTGAAGAACATATGAAGGTTGTGTACCGAATATTGAAGTACCTCAAAGCAACTCCTGGTAAAGGATTGTTTTTAAAAAAAATCAAGATCACACAGTCATGGGATATACAGACGTAGACTGGGCAGGTGACCGAATGGATGGAAAATCCACCTCAGGTTATTTCACTTATGTTGGAGGTAATCTGGTAACTTGGAGGAGTAAAAAGCAAAAGGTAGTATCAAGATCCAGCGCTGAGGCAGAGTATCGAGGAATGATGCATGGAGTATGTGAATTATTATGGATAAAGCGGATTTTATCTGATCTAGGGATATCTCTATTATCTCCCATGCGGCTTCACTATGATAATGAGTCGGCTGTGAAGATAGCAAACAATCCTGTTCAGCATGATAGAACAAAACATGTAGAGATTGATAGGTATTTCATAAAAGATCATCTCGAAAGAAAGAATATTGAACTCCCACATATAAGTTCTGAAGATCAACTTGCAGACATGTTAACGAACGTTGTGTGTGGGAGAGTGTTTGAGTGCTCTCTTAACAAGCTGGGAATGATAGATATACATTCTCCATCTTGAGGGGGAGTGTTGACGAGAGCAAATTATAAAATATAATTGTTGTAAATAATATCAAGTTCCTTTAGAATAATAGGCTGTACCCTTGGTGAGTTTGTTACTTTCTTTCATGTATAAATGTAATGCACCTGTGATTGATATGATATAGAAAAAACGGGAGAGTCTTTCCCAAAAATCTCAACTCTTAATTTCTATACTAACAGCTTAATACAAATATTTTTTTGTTAAACTACTACACTGAACACTATTAAACGAAAAAACTAGATCATTTGTTGAAACCATTAATATCGAGTAGTCTATTGATGATCATTAAATATTCCAAAATGAGGTGAATTGACGGAAAAGAAAACGCCGTCGGCCATACAGTTCTTCCAACCACCGATCATTTTTCCACCATGAATTTTTAAAGAAACATCCACCTGTAAGCCATGGCAATAAACCTTGAAGGACTTCCGTTTAGCCCCCCAAGCACTAGGCCGATACGTAGCCATCATCCTAAAATCAAAATTTATCACCACATGACCACTCTTACTCTCCCCATCAACGTTAAACCCATGGAAAGAAGAAAATCTGGTCCTAATTGCAGTCTTATTCTTGGGTCCCTGCACGAAACCTGGCACACTACTCCTATCTAAAAGTATATGCCAATACCAGACAGCAGCTTGGATTCCATCGTAGTGAAGAGTAACTTTCAAATTTGGGTTGCGAAGGATGAAATGGACGTCCAAATCACCCGCAGTTTGTGCCTCATGGAAGTTGGATATGGTTATCGTTTCGAGATGGAATTTGGGAAGACTGATGGAGATGAGCCAAAACTGCCATATTAGGAGGATTAAGATGTCGATGCAGAAGATAGAACGGAAGAGAAACTGAGAAAGCCGAAGGAACAGTGCTCGATGGCGCGTTGTTTGTGTTAGAATTGATGAAGATGATAGAAAGAAAATAAGCTTTCTTCATTGATTGATTGAAAAAACCTTCTGTACAATACAAGAACAAATAAAATATATACATTACAAGAAACACAAATTGTAACTAACTTAACCACGGTTTGATGACGTGTAACACCCCCCCTCAAGCTGGTGGTGGATATTGAGAAAATGCCAGCTTGGAAATTGCATCATTATGTTGTGTAGAAGGAAGAGATTTAGTAAAAATGTCTGCTAATTGGTTAGCACTGGAAACATGAGAAAGTGTAATCAATCCTCCTTGTAACTTTTCACGAACAAAGTGACAATCTAGCTCAATGTGTTTCGTTCGTTCGTGAAAAACTGGGTTTTTAGCTATGTAGATTGCAGCTTGGTTATCACACTTGAGTGGTATTGGAATGATATTTGGGACATTCAGCTCTTGTAAGAGACGACTTAACCAAGCTAATTCTGAACATACCCTCCGCATAGATCGATATTCAGCTTCGGCAGATGAAAGGGATACAGTGGTTTGTTTCTTTGATTTCCAAGATACAGGAACATTGCCAAATAAGATGAAGAAACCACTAACTGAACGTCTAGTGATTGGGCAAGCAGCCCAATCTGAATCACAGAAAGCTTCAATATTAAAAGTAGGATCATTGTTGAGTAATATACCCTTGGAAATTATCCCTTTCAAGTACTTTAAAACATGAATTGCAGCATCATAGTGTACTTTACTAGGAGTTTGATTGAATTGGCTCAGATGCTGAACAGCAAATGACAAATCAGGTCTAGTATGGAGCAAAAAATTGAGTTTTCCAACAAGTTGTCTATAGAGGGTTGGATCTTCAAGAGGATCATCCATGTTGGGTACTAATTTTAAACTAGTAGGAAGAGGAGTATTCACAGAATCTGCATTTTCCATGTGATAATCACGAAGTAAATCAAGAATAAACTTGTGTTGATGAAGAACCATGCCATTAGAAACTTCATTAAACTCCAATCCTAAGAAAAAATGAATGAATCCAAGATCCTTTATACGAAATTGATCATCAAGAAATTCTTTCAAAAAATGAATTTCTTGTTCATTATCTCCTGTGACAAGAATGTCATCAACATATACTGCAATGATGACTATGGAATTGTCCACTTTCTTGAGAAATAAAGAATGATCATTCAAAGAATGAGAAAATCCTCTAGATTTTAAAGCAATGGACAACTTTTCATACCATTGATGAGAGGCCTGTTTAAGACCATAAAGGGACTTCCTTAATTTGCATACATGTGATGAAGAAGGAACATGCAAACCAGGTGGTGCTCTCATATAGACCTCTTCATGAAGATCGCCATGAAGAAAAGCGTTATTAACGTCAAATTGATGAACTTTCCATCTGTTTTTAACAGCAAGAGTAACAACAATTCTCACAATGTTAAATTTCACAACTGGAGAAAACGTTTCATGGTAGTCGACACCATATTTTTGAGTGAAGCCCTTAGCAACAAGGCGTGCTTTGTGTCTTTCAATGCTACCATCAGCACGATGTTTAGTTTTGTACACCCATCGACATGATATAGGTCTTTTTCCTTTTGGTAATTTAACGATATCCCAAGTATGATTAGCTTCTAGTGCTTCGAATTCTTTATTCGTGGCCTCCTCCCAAACAGGAACACCTTTGGCTTGATTATAAAAGGCTGGTTCAGGAATAGAAGTGCTAACATTAAAAGCCAAAGAAGAAGGATTTGAAATGTTTATAGGTGATGTATTGCAATCAATGCATAGATTTGTGAGTGTATGACAACAATCTGAATCAGAGTTGTCAAGAACAACATTACAAACATAGTCTCGAAGATGTGCAGGAGGCACACTTTGTCTAGTAGATCTGCGTAAAGAAACTGGAGGAGGATCAGGAATATGTTGATGGGCAAGAGAGGCATGAGGTAACTCAGTTGAAGATGAAGAAGGATATGGATAATCATCACAAGTATGTGGAATGTTGGGAAGAAATGAGGGTTGTGAAGTAAAGTGATGAGTATCTTTACTGAGAAGTGGAAAAATATCTTCGAAAAAACGAACATCTCTTGACACGAAAATGGTTTTAGTTTCCAAATTTAGAAGTTTATAAGCCTTTTGTCCTTCAGGGTAACCAATAAGAATACATGATTGTGCTCTAGGCATGAATTTATCTCGACCATTTGATGAAGAAGAAGCATGGCAAAGACATCCAAAAGTCTTTAAATGAGATAATGAAGGCTTTTGTTTGAAAAGAAATTCATAAGGAGATTGTTTATCAATATTAAATGCGTATAGATTAGAATAGTTTGTGGGTTGATTCTGTGGAGCATTTGGAGGAGAGGAAACAGGGTGTACGGTGGCAGAGTTTCGGTTGCGGGAGGCAAAGGGAGGTGGATCCGCCATTGAAATTGTGGACAGGATTGATGATTGGTAAGTGGTTATGGGATGAAATCAATTACAATGTAATCTGTTTGGAATCCGAATCATCAATTACGAGTTTCACTAAAGAGCAAACAAATTGAAAATTGGTAATTTCTTTTTAACGATGTTTGGTTTGTTTTAGAAATAATCAACGTCAACATTTAATTTTTATATTTCTATTTGACTCCTAAAATCCAGGCTCGATTACATAATTTTCTTTTAGTTTTTCATTTTCTTTGGACGCTTACTACAACATCTTCTCACCAAAATCAAACACAATTTTCTTGTTCGTTTGAGCTTTTTAAACAAATGAATATTCTTCATCTTCCTTTGAGTGTCTACACTATTAACATTATGGTCAAGTGGTTATGTCTTCCTGCTTGATCGAAACACTGGAAAGCTGATGTCACGGGGACACATGTTTGTATTGGATATTCAATTCAAACGGATCATAATTGCATATTAGTTTTGTTAATCCATTATACATTGAAGAAATTTCTAGTGTGATCAACTTTTCTTCAAACTCTTCATTATACATTGCATAGAATTGATTATGGGAAAGTATGGAAATATACTATCATCATCCAAACCATCATTTGATTTCCTAATGGGATATAAGTTACAAAATTGTTTATTCTATGGTGATGCATTTCGTCACAACTTGGGAGACATTACTCCTTGATTTGGATAGTTGATACTAAGCTTCTTTGATACATCAGTTATTTTGATGAACTAGTAGATGCTTGATGAATTTGGAGTTTACTATCGTTGATTGTGTGTTTATAGTTTAAATTAAGGGAAATTGAATAAACTAACCACTTTTCTAATGTTATTTTAATAATAATAACCATTTTATATATTTTTTTGCAAAATGACCACTCGGTCCGGAATGGGTCATTCCGGACCCGATTTTGTATTTGGTGAATGGATAATGGATCTGATGTGGTAATGTGGTTTCCCTTATAAATACCATTTTAACCTGTTTCAGACTTCATTTCGAACTCTGTCATTTGGATTACCCTACAGAGCATTCCGAACACCACCAAAACTAAGATGTCTTCTGATAGCGGTAAGATGCATTTTTTATATGTAAGTTTTCATTATGTTTATAATTATATGCCTTTATTTTAGACTATATGTTAAAACATGTATAATTTATTATTTTGTATTGTTATTATTAGTTTTTCTTTGAATATTATTGGTTTAAAGACAATTATAGGATTACATGTAGGAATGTATGTATGCTACATAAAAAAAAGCTTACCAGAAATCTTCATTTTGTCTAGTCCGGAACAAGTCCGGAATCTGATAAACATGTCCGGAATATAAGAACACATCCGCAATACAAGGAACATTCCGGAATTGCATTCACTCTATTGTAATGACTATGATATATATGTATTAGTATTGAGTATTGGAACATTTTGTAGCATCATCTATTGTAATGACTATGATATATATGACATATGAGTTTTCATTAAGTATTTGTTTAGTTCTTTATTAACATGTTTAATCATTGAGTATATTTATTCACTCTAAAATCCATAGTTGGTTATTATTCTCGGAACAATAATGAAATAGGGAAAATGACACAAATGCCCTACGAACTTTCTAGGGTTTATCCTTTTAATCCCTAAACAATTTTGGTGGCCTTACGAGGGAACGAAGTCGTTTTTGTTGGGTCGATTACATCCTTTTGGCCAGAGTGAAGGGGTCACCCGGTTACCTCTTTGAAAAATTGACATTTGTTGACAAATTTTCATATATTGACTTTGAATTTTCCCATACTCTCGGACCTACATATCTCTCTCTTGTCACAACTGGCAAAATTAGGTTAAGATGTGAATTCCTGTAATCTCCTTGAGTAACCTTACAAAATCTCATCTAGCAAAATTCAAAACTTCAATGCCATTAAGATTCTACTCTGATACATTGACATTTAGGTTGAAACAATCCCATATAAGCTCGAAACTCTACCCAATAAGCCAAATCCAATCATTTTTGGGCCTTAGCCCAAGAATTTTCGACCCAAACCCCCTTAATTGGGACAATACCTTTCCTAGAACATCATTGGGCCGAAAACCCATTTCTTTTACCCTTTTTGGGCCGTAAACTCATATGTGGGCCCACATGGATCGAAAATCCCTAATGGGCCGATGCTATATCAAGCCCAAGACCCATGTTCTTTTCTTCCCTCCCATTCTCAGTTTTTATAATAAAAAAAAAGAGAGAAATTAAGTTTGTTTAAATTGTGACACCTCCTTATTACATGGAGGATATCCATGCATTTAATCCACCATACATCTATGCAACTTGTTTTAACCTACAAGTATTAACCTACTAATCTCTCCCCTCCCTTCCCTCTTGAAATCTCGGCCAAACCCTCCATCCCCACCACTTTCACTTCAAAAACTTCCTTCCATCTCATTTCCTCTCAAGATCTCTAGTGATTCACTTAAAAATCTTCAAAGTTCTTCACCATCAAACATTAATTCAAGACTCCTTGGTAAGTTCTAGACTAAAACTCAAGTGTTTTACTTCAAGGAGTGCTAAGATCTTTCTCTTATACTCTTATTTTCGTGAATATGAACCATTAGAACACCCACCATTTCGAGATCTCTCCATGAACTCAAGCTAGGTTCAAAGTTTCATCTTCTTCATCATCTACATCTTAAAAACTCCAAGGTGAGCTTCATACCCCCATATCTTTCGTATTTTTCATGTTTTCGGGGGGAGGATACAAGTCAACTCTCGTTTAACCGTTGGATATTTGCATGTACCATTGTGTTATGTGTTTAACTTTTAGATCTTTACCTGAACATGAAATTTATCACTTAGATCTTCATAAAAACCATGAGAAAAGTATGTGTTGTCATATATAATACATATAAACTTGTAGAACTGGGATTATACACTCAAAATAGCAAAAATAAGTGTTGTGTTCAAACATGTATAACCTAAACTCAAAAATCAGCTTTTAATAGAAACGTTTTTGTCTAATTACGGACTGTTTTGACCACCTTAATTATAATATTTTTCAAAACTATTTTACA